TATATATATATATATATATATATAAAAATACCAGAATGTGGGTTTTTTTCTATGTGGTGTACTCACTAGTACTTTTTATTTTATTTTTTTCTTATCTATCTGTTTTTTTCACTTATCCAAAATGAATGCATATGTTTCATATGTGTCAGAAAAATAAGAAGCAAGGAACTTGCCAATCAGCTTATAAAGAGAGTGGAGGCAATTAATAAATTATTGAAACACAATTTAAAAACTTATAAATTTTTTATTACCTTTCAGTCTCTTATTTAGAAGCACAAACCTGGTAATTATTATAGGTACATTTCTCTAAAGTCAGCCTATTCATCTATAAAATGGAGATAATATATGCTTTACAGGCCTGCTGTGGTTTTCAAATGAGGTAATGACTGAACTCTGTGGCTGGTTCTGTCCACACATGCCAGGCCCCAACCTTCTAGGTGCCCTTCATTTTTAGGGAAGGACCCAAAGAGTACGCCTACCAGCAAATCCAGTTGACTGCCAAGATCGTAACATTTTTCTATTCCTCTGCTGCTCTGTCTTCCCTGGGTAATGCCATGACTACTGGGAATTTCTCCTTCTGCTTGATTTTGTTCCTTCTATTGTCCCCCACCACTGCTGATGTGCTGGACTCACAAAGGTGACAAACACTCACTGATTTCTCTGGAACCCTGGGTGGTCTGAAACCCCCTTTTGCCCTTTCACAAATGTGCAGGATGTCCCTCTCTGCTTTAGAGTTATCCTTGAACCAGGAAGATACTTCATCAGTGCTGCTTAGGGATGCAAATAGTCTTTTATGGTTTTCCCACACTTTCTTCCTTATCCCCTTCCCCTAGACAAATCTGGATGACACTTGTTATAGCGTACTCAGAATTTGAGTATCACTTCCATCCTCTGACAAATATGGCCCAGTCTGTTTGACCCTCTATTTTCTATGCAGGCTGCTACAGGTTTCACTCTGCACATACACAGGAATTGTAGGGGTGGCTTTATGTCCCCACGACTGTTCTGGTTCATACCACCTCACCCCAGGAGTCCCCAGTAGTCTCTACTCATACTTACCTATATGGATCCAGAGGAGTTTCTCTCCTCCTTTGCTTCAAAGTTTGCTGTGCCAAAATAAGCCTGTAATCACAACTCAATGGGAAGCAATGGCCAGGACTAGGGACCTCATAGGTAGACCCTGGTTTTAGAACAATTTTCACATTCATCACTATTTTCCCCCTAGACTGTGCCCTTCTCACAGTAAATATTTTGTCTCATTTATCCTGGTACCCTTAGCATTTAGCACAGGGCCTGGTAAGTTGTAGGGCACAACAATTCATTATAGCTGAGTCAAGAGTCCTGCAATCTAGACCCAGGTTTGCTTCTGATGATTTATGGGCAAGTAACTAATTTTCCCTACAGACTGTAACTTGCAATTAAAAAATGAACACAGCCTGAGCCAGCCATAACAGAGAAGGCAGGCAGGGATGTACCTCTGGCCCATGCTGGTCCCCACTGCTGTGAGAGAATTAAGAGGCTCAGGGCCCCCACACCCTGAGCCAGCCAAGCAGGAGAAGGCAGGTGGGGTGGGACTTCTGGCCCCAGTCAGTCAATCTGCCAGGAGAGAATTAAGAGACTCCCATGTTTATTGCAGCACTATTTACAATAGCCAAGAGTTGGAACCAGCCCAAATGTCCATAATCTGATGGACATCATCATCTGATTACTGGCTAAGGAAACTGTGGTGTATTTACATAATAGAATACTACTCTGATATAAAAAAGAATGAAATCCTACCATTCGCAACAACAGGGACGGACTTAGAGAAAATTATATTAAGTGAAACAAGTCAGGCACAGAAAGAGAAATACCACGTGTTCTCACTTATTTGTGGGAGCTAAAAATAAATAAATAAATAAACCCACAAACAAATCGGGGTGGGGAGAGAAGACAGAATAACCACAAAAATTCCTTGAACTATTTAATTCAAGTGAACAGATGTGATTTGTGGGGGGTGGTGGAGAGGAACAGGGAACGGGGCATGAAAATCAACCACAATGTATATTCAGAAGTAAAATTTTTAAAAAATGAACACAGCAGAGGAAGCGTTATACACCAATTTCAACATATGGACTTATAACATTATACAAGAACGAGTTCATGGAAAGACTGTATTATCTTTTATTTTCACGAATTTTTTATTGAAACATAATTGATTGTACATATCTGTGGGGTACAGCATTGAATGTCAATACCTGTGTGCAATATGTGATGCTCAAGCCAGGATAATTAGTATATTCAACATTACACAGTATACTCATCTTTTGTGGCTTTTTACCAATTTCTTGCTAACTCTTTGAAGTACCCTTTATATGTCAGTGTTTACAAACATGTGCTATACAAACCAGTTGCGTCAGAATCACATGAAGAACTGGCTAAAAATTCAGAAAATTGTTTCACTCCACACCCACTGCATCCTAGTTAATCAGACGTCTCTGGATTTACATAAATTAAAGTGGAGTTCCCAGCTATAGTTCAAGTTTAGACACTCCCTTCCCCATCCCATACTATGTAGAGATTAGATAGATAGATAGATAGATAGATAGATAGATAGATAGATAGATAGATAGATAGATGATAGATAGATAGATAGAGATAGAGATCTAAGACCTGCAAAAGCACTTTTTAAGGCCTTAATTAATCTATATACATCAGACCTTATTTTCCCATTCAACTGTGCCCTTATTAAAGAGACAACTGTCTTTTTTTAATGCTGTTATCTTTAGTGCATAGATTCTTAAAATTGGCTGCAGGTTTTAATTACCTGAGGATATTTTAAAGTGTAGCTCAGGACCCACTTTCAACCAATTGAATCAGACTCATTAGAGGTGGGACCAAGGGATCATAATGGTGTAAAAAAGTCCCATTCCAATGTACATGTAGATTTGAAAACAACTGAATGTAGTTTGTGCCGAAAATATCTTTGGTTTATTTTCTCTGCACTATCCATGATTGATTGCGTGATCATAAGCAAGTATTTTCATTTATCTAGAATATGTATCTTGAGAAAGAAATAGCTCTGAGGAATTACACCATAATATCAACACATGAGGTTAAGATAGTATATGCCAGTGTTCAACCAAGTTTGCTAGCCTATCAAATGCTTCAGAATCACACGTATAGTGTGTTTAAAATACAGAATCTTAGCTCTACATCCAAAACCACTTTTTGGCAATGGTGTCCAGTAACTACATTGTTAACAAGCACCCCCTTCCCAAGTGATTCTGACGCACACTAGAGTTTGAGGATTACTTGTGCATACACTTTACCTCAAGCGTATTAAGGACAAACCAATAAAATAACTAAATAAATAAAAGAAAACATATATAAACGTTAGTCTGAATTCAGGGAAAGTAACAGCAAGAAGAAGACCTATCTGAGTGTCAAAAAATGATAAAAAGTTGAAGCCATAAATGGAAATATTGGCATTCAACTATGTAAAAAATATTAAATCTTTTGTAAATAAAAACAGGACTATAAATAAAAGTTCCAGGAAAGGGCCTGTACATCTTAATAAGATGTATTTCTTCAACTGAAGATAATGTAATGTCTTTCACTCTTCATTTTAGTATAGGTAACATGTAAACAATAAAATGAATAAAAATCACATTCTTCTTGCCTATTTAAAACCTTGATTGCAGGGGCCGGCCCGGTGGCGCACTGCTACAGTGCGCCGCTTGGAAGTGTGGTGGCGCTCCCGCCGAGGGTTCGGATCCCATGTACAGGCCGGCCGCTCACTGGCTGAGCGAGGAGCAGGCGCAACACCGAGGGTTGCGATCCCGTTGCCAGTCCCGGTCCGGTACGGGCACGACACTGAGGGTTGCGATGCGTTGCCGGTCACGAGAAAAGACAAAAAAGGAAAAAAAAAAAAAAAAACCTTGATT